CAGAGAACATTGTTTAAGTGTAGAGGATGAGATGCATCAGAAAGTGACAATTATGTCTGGGAACTGGCTTCAATGTGAAGACTGGAGATCACAAAGGAGAAAACGTAATTAAATAATTCAGCAGATAACAAGCTTTTAAAGACCCTGAACAGGAGCGTCATGTACATAATGGCATACTGCAAAAAGAAGTACTGTCGTGTTTGTAATGTCAAGTTATATACAAAGAAACCAACGGACTATGAATACAATGACAGAACAAAATTTAAATAAACAAAAACACACACACACACACACACACACTAAATCCCCCATTATCCAGCATTCAAGCAACCAGGGGGGAAAAAAAAAAAGTTGCTTAATAGACATGTGCACACTAAAAATGTTTTACGAAATTCTCCATTTACAACTTGCTGCGGCTGACAGCTAGATTCTTCACCTGGGTGTAAATGTAAACAACGGGCAGTGGGCACGTGCTATAGCCAGCCTGCTTTTGGCTTTGGGAATTTAAAATAGCCAATGGCCAAATCTAGCCAGCAGATGAATGGGGCAGAGCGGTGGGAGTTGTTGCTTGAGAGTCAATAGTAACTCTCAAGCAACCAGAAACTACAGCTATCCGGCATCTACCAATCCCCATTGGTACCGGATAACAGGGAGTTTATTGCGTATGTATGTATGTATGTAATAATAATATATATATATTAGGGCTGCAACAACTAATCGACATAATCGATTATAATCGATTATTGAAAAAGTAACGATCACCTCCATGGCCACAGGTGTATAAAATGAAGCACCTAGGCATGCAGACTGCTTCTACAAACATTTGTGAAAGAATGGGTTGCTGTCAGGAGCTCAGTGGATTCAAGCGTGGTATCGTGATAGGTTGCCCCTTGGGATGCACCGGTACCGTTTTTTTCTGGTAGACTTATTCTCTGGAGTGACGAATCACGCTTCTCTGTCTGGCAATCCGATGAATGTGTCTGGGTTTGGTGGTTGCCAGGAGAACGGTACTTGCCTGACTGCATTGTGCCAAGTGTAAAGTTTGGTGGGGTGGGGGATTATGGTGTGGGGTTTTTTGTTCAGGAGTTGGGCTTGGATAAAGACATGGGGATGAGCAAGTTTGGGGTGGAGGAACTTGACTGGGATGAGTCCTGACCTCAACCCGATAGAACATCTTTGGGATGAATTAGAGCGGAGACTGCGAGCCAGGCCTTCTCGTCCAGCATCAGTACCCAACCTCACAAATGCGCTTCTGGCAGAATGGTCAAACATTCCCAGACACACTCCTAAACCTTGTGGACAGCCTTCCCAGAAGAGTGGAAGCTGTTATAGCTGCAAAGGGTGGGCCAACTCAAAATTGAACCCTGCGGACTAAGACTGGGATCCCATTAAAGCTCATGTGCGTGTAAAGGCAGGCGTCCCAATACTTTTGCAAATATAGTGTATATATAAATAAAAGTAGGGATGTTCCGATACTTGTACTCGTGAAAATGCCCCTATTCTAAAGGCTACCGGCCCTTTACATTTTTTTTTAAACAAGTTTGGTTGCTGGAGGTCCCACGATGCTGGGGACCTCAGGCAGCTGTCTTTGACAGTTCCGGTCTAGCCACACATTCCTCCTACTTCCCAGCGCCGACACAGCACAGGACAGCCCCACACCTGCCTGTACAGCCCCGGAGCCTGGCACGAGCCCGGATCCCACCCGTTCAGCCCAACACCCACCTGCAGAGCCCTGGGGAGACCCTGCACGCAACCCTGTATAATTGCTGTTTAATCATGGGTTTATGGGATCTGTAGTCCGCTATCGCTGGTTGCCATTCTTCATTGCTAAAGAGTCATGAATTGAGTTACAGTTCTTCGTCATTATAAAGAAACTGCCCTAAGAAAAAGTATTGGCAATTGGTATCGGCAAGTACCTGAGGGAAAGTACATAGTTATATAGTTTGTCAGGTTGAAAAAAAAGACACGTCCATCACGTACTCCATACTAGAGCTGCAGCTAACGATTATTTTCAAAATCGATTAGTTAGCCGATTATTAAGTTCGATTAATCAGTTAAATCGGATAAAAAATAAAATAAAATACATTTTTAAAAATGTCTCCAGTGATGGGACTACTAGTTTGTATTGAGATTGTAGTCCATCACAGGAGAAAGCTTGGAGCAGTGGAAGTAAAAAAGAAAAAAAAAAGTGTGGTGTGCAATATAGTGAAATGAAAAGTGTAAAATTATACAGCAATGAATGCAGAATGGCAACGGCTATAGAGGACTACAAAACCGAGCAATAAATTATACAGCACAATGCAGAATACCACCAGCTATAGCGGACTACAAAACCCAGCAATAGTACATTATACAGTGGTGCAATGCCGAATACCACTAGCTATAGAGGACTACAAAACCCAGCAATAGTACATTATACAGTGCAATGCAGAATACCACCAGCTATAGAGGAATACAACAAATCCCAGCAATAATACATTATAGCTGGCGGTATTCTGCATTGCGCTATATAATGTACTATTGCTGGCTTTTTGTAGCCCTCTATAGCTAGTGGTATTCGGCATTGCACCACTGTATAATGTACTATTGCTGGGTTTTGTAGTCCTCTATAGCTAGTGGTATTCGGCATTGGACCACTGAATTATGTATTATTGCTGGGATTTGTTGTACTCTATAGCTGGTGGTATTCCGCATTGCGCTGTATAATGTATTATTGCTGGGATTTGTAGTCCCCTATACAGCGCAATGCAGAATAACATCAGCTATATAGGAATACAACAAATCCCAGCAATACATTATACATACAGTGTATATTGTATTCCAGGGATTTATAGTCCTTGTATTATAGCTGATGGTATAATATACAGCATAATGTACCATCAGCTATAGAGGAATACAAATCCCAGCAATACATTATAGGAGCACCATGTGGGGGAAAGTGCAGGCTTACCTGAGCAGTCTTCCAGCAACTTGCTTCTGAGATCAGGCCTGTCTATCGGCAGCTGTCATCCCCCCACACCTGCTCCTCCTCCTTCTCCCCGCGTCCCTGTGCCGATCGTGGATGTGGGCGGGCGGTGAGCGTGAGGCGTGGAGGAGGTGCGGCGAACAGCTTGTGTGGAGCCGTGAACAGGGCCAACTAATCAGAGGCCGATTAATCGATGATTGAAAAAGTTGACAACTTTTTCAATCATCGATTATGTCGATTAGTTGTTGCAGCCCTACTCCATACAAGTATTTGTGCTTGGTCTTGAAAAAAATGTTAAAAGTAAATCTACAGCTAAAACTTTTAAATTTTGGATGAATGTGGAAAGGTCAGAACCTCTGTCAAGTTTTTATTACACTCTTTATCCTAGAACCCTCTTAGGCTGCATTCTTAAGGGGCATTCTGGCATTGCCGGGTACCCTCATTCAGATGAGGCTGCCGTCACCCCATCATTAACTTTAATGTGTACAGCGGCTGCATCTGTAAGCAACAGTCCTCATGTAATAGTACAGGTGCCCCTGTTTAGATGCAGCTGCCGTCACCCCATAATTAACTTGAATGTGTACAGCGACCACATCTGTAAGCGGCAGTCCTTATATAATATTATTTTTTGTGTATATGCATTTGAATGTGTTAAACAAATGCATCAAAATGCATTGGTTGGGAATGGGCATTACTGAAACCTAATAAGTTATTGTCCAGGATTATCCATGAGACTGCAGTTTCTTATCTACACCATCACACAGTATATATAAACATTGTAAGAGGACACCGCACATACTCTGACTGACAATCTGCTGAACACCAGGGCTGATTGAAGAAAAATAAAGAGAAAGGCTTGTTCTTCTTAGCAACCAAATAGGTTTCATTTTTATATTACTACAAAGTAAAAGCAACCCAACTGGTCATGTCAACCAGTTCCAAAGCATTGGTAAGAGGGCCTCCTCAAACCCCTTTGGATGAGATCACATGACCAATGCCTAAGCAATGGTTCTATGACTGCTTTCCGGAGAAAGCATATTCCAGTTATCATACTGGGACATTTTGGAGAAGTTCCATGAATGATTCTTAAAGGAACGCCGATTTAACGTTTGTGCACGTCTGCTTTAAAGTAAAACAAAAAATGTTAAAAGCTGGAGTGGTCAATAGCTCCACATTACAGCCGCATCCAAGTGCTATCATACAAATGGTAAATACGGTTTTCTCAGGTCACAAACGCCCAAAAACAATGCTACCTAAATTCTCTGACCTGGAGCTCCAACTTCACAAGCGATTCATGTGGAATTCCCAAACCTTCTTTTAGCAAGGACTTGTTCACAATATAACGTATATTTTAGGGTGCTCATGATGTTTATGTGTTGGCATGCACTGTTTTGTTGCATTTTGCTGACCTTTAATGCATTTATATGTGTTACAGTTGAATTTCATTTACTATGTGCTTCAGAGCACTACAAAAATGCAACATCTCCTATTTTCTTACCATGCAAACAAACACATCGCATTGACCTGAACTAAAACATTGGGACATTTGGCAAATTGCCTTGTTCTTGTGTTGGCATGTGAAAGCAGTATTGTTCCACACCAAAACAAAGTTTAAAAAACACTGGAATGTACAATAATAATTTGATGCTTATTCAGGTAACACAATATTTTTGTAGCTAGAAATATAACTTTATGTGAATGTGATCAGGTCTTTTCTTACCTTTGTGATGATTAGAAGTTCCCCATGTTCTCTTCCACCTTTCAGAGTAAATCCCCAGGGAGCACCACCAGTCAGAAACACATCCACAAACTTGTACCCCTCCACTATTTTCCTCTCCATCATCAGATTGTGTCCTTGGTCCACCAACCCTGGAGGAGTCCTCATGTCATCAGGCACAAACCTCTCTCTCCCTCCCCTGGTCTCCAGGTTCTCCATGCTCTGCCAGTGATGCCCTGAAACTTCTAGTGCTCCAGTTGTACTAAAAGGTCCCCTAACTAAACCACATCACAGTGATTTCAGGTACTGAGCTCCCTTGCTGCTACTGATCTGGATAAAACTAATTCACCAAATCAGCAGCTCTGTAACCCAAAAGTACTAAAATATGCAAAATTGAAAAAACATCAATTTACTGCATGTGAAGATATCAGATCCAGAGCTTGTCTCATGAAGACATTAATTCCAGGGGCTGTCTTGTGAAGACATCAAATCCAGGAGTAGTCTTGGGAGGACATCAGATCCAGGGGTAGTCTTGGGAGGACATCAGATCCAGGGGTAGTCTTGAGAAGATATCAGATCCAGGGGTAGTCTTGTGAGATCCAGGGGTAGTCTTGGGAGGACATTAGATCCAGGGGTAGTCTTGGGAGGACATTAGATCCAGGGGTAGTCTTGGGAGGACATTAGATCCAGGGGTAGTCTTGGCAGGACATTAGATCCAGGGGTAGTCTTGAGAGGGCATTAGATACAGGGGGAGTAATCCAGGGGTAGTCTTGGGAGGACATTAGATCCAGGGGTAGTCTTGGGAGGACATTAGATCCAGGGGTAGTCTTGGGAGGACATTAGATCCAGGGGTAGTCTTGGGAGGACATTAGATCCAGGGGTAGTCTTGACAGGACATTAGATCCAGGGGTAGTCTTGACAGGACATTAGATCCAGGGGTAGTCTTGACAGGATATCAGATCAGGAGGTAGTCTTGACAGGATATTAGATCCAGGGGTAGTCTTGACAGGACATTAGATCCAAGGGTAGTCTTGACAGAACATTAGATCCAGGGGTAGTCTTGAGAGGATATCAGATCAGGAGGTAGTCTTGTGAAGATATCAGATCAGGAGGTAGACTTATCAGATTTAATATTGACATCAGATGCAGGGGGTAGTCTTGACATCAGATCCAGGGGGTAGTCTTGACATCAGATCCAGGGGGTAGTCTTGACATCAGATCCAGGGGGTAAGCCTGTTAAGGCATAAAATCAAGGTTAGATTTCTTTAGACCAGGGGTAGACTTCTGAAGACAATAGGTAAAGGGGGTATGCTTGTGAAGACATCAGATCAGGGTTAATTTATGAAGACATCAGACCAGGGGTAGTCCCGTGCAGAGTGAACTTTCTTTGTATGAATGGAGGTAATGTAGGACAATAGCAGTCCCTAATGAGAAGAGTTGTAGCTGTACAAAGATCAGGAGTCCGGAGAGGGCCCTGCTATCTTTCCCAGTACAATGGCCATTGGCGCCCCTCCTCACAATCCAACATGGAGAGCAGGTGACACATGTCCTTGCAGATCCCGGTGATCCGGTGCCAGGAATAGTCCGGTGTGTGCTCACAGCTCGGTCACCTCCCCCCCCCCGGTACACCGATCGCCTCACCGCTCCCACTTCACTGAGTTTTCCCTGCAACCACCTGTTCAAATAATAGCGATCGCTGCTTGTTTAGGCTCCGAACGAAGTCACCTTCCCTGAATGCACACAGCTGACAATTTCCTCGTTTGTCCCCTCCCCGCCCTACCTGGCAGAGCTGGGCTCTTTCCCTTGTTTGTGTTTAGTCAGGCCGGGATTGGTGATCGGAGCAGTTGTGGCTGTACAGACATTAATAATGAAGGGCTCGCAGGAGTAGCTTCCCTGCTGGCTGTTCCTCCCTCCCCCCCATCCTGCTTAGCAATCACTCCCTGATTATCCCTAGCAGAGGATGTCTGTGTCACTGCTGAGCTCCATACTACAGACCTGACCAGGAACACTCTCATTGTACTCATACCCAGGAGATAAAACTCATACATTGCCACCAAAGTCATGGGGGGAATTTATCAAACCTGGAGCTGGAGCATGGCATCAACTTCTAGCTTTGATTTTCCAAGTGTAAACTGACACTAAACTCAGGAGTTAAACCTCAAAAATACATTCAAGCACCTTAAATATTAACCAAAATGTATCTTATTTGTGTATCACTCAGCTGTAGAGCCTCAAATCATCTCTGAATTGGTGCTGACACTGTCCTTCCTTCTGGAGAGTGACTACTTTGGTTTCCCATGGTCCCTGTGTTTGTTGTTAAGTAGCCACCGCTCCAACAGACTACAATCTCAAGGCAAATTACTAAACTTAAACTGCCCATACACCTTGCAATCATCGGACGATCGAAGCGTCATACGATTTTCGTACGATTATCACAAGGTTCAGTCAGCAGTAATTAAAAAAAAGCACCTGGACGAATTGTGGTAATCGACCTTACATATTTCCGTCTGCGCATGAGCAGTGTTAATCATAGGAATTTTGATGTACGGAAACGACACCAACCTTGCGAAAATCGTACGATCGACCGAAGTTTTCTAACCTGCTGGTTAGTCAAAAGTCGTGCGATTGTACAGTATTTGCGGCTTTATACTGCCCATCAACCTTACGAATATCGGACGAAAACGTGATTGCATACGAAAATCGCCCGATATTCGTAAGGTGTATGGGCAGCTTTAGAGGGTTATTCACAACGCTGCCGAAGGCTGTTCGGCTATTCACTTCAGGCTTCTATGGCTAATTTCAGCTGTGCATGGGCTGCACTTCGGTTAGCCTAATATGCTCTTCATGTTCGGCTGAGCCGAAGTGCAGAGGGACTTTGACTCTGTTGATCCAACATCTGGATCAGCTTAGCCGAAGCTTCGGCAGCTCACCCGCTGCTGTTCGCCCCTATTCTCATAGGAGCCGAACGGCAGTGAGTGAATAGCTAAATGCCGCCAAGCAGCATTCGGCTCGGCTGTTCTGCTCGGTACCTCCGTGGTACTAAGCAGAATAGCAATTCAATGAAAAGAGCAAAAAATAAAAATAATAAAGTTGAAAAAACATTTTTTTAAATGTAATTAAATATGAAGAATAGCCCGTACAGCAGCCCTTTAGTTCGACTGGACCGAAGGGCTCCCGCAACCGGAGCTAGCCGAAGGATCAGCCAAAGCTATGGCCCCTGAAATGTGTTGTTTTTACAGGAACTAAATAAATGCTTTTTGGATACTGAGAATGTCTCCCTGGTGCTCCCTTTGGTTTATGTACAGACCCGAGCCCTCAGGGACATTCTCGCTTTGTGGAGAGCCGTCGAACACAAGCCATTTGGCTTCATTAAGGACTTCTTTGTCTCATCACTATTTTGGGGATCCATATCCAGTGCCTCGCTGCCACCGTCCCCTAATCATTACCCTGTATCAGCATTTTAAAGGAACTGGGCCTGGAGATTGTTTTCACAAGGTTTTTGAAGGTTTTCAAGGAATGTGGTGGCAATCCCAAAGGATCCTAAGGGGGGTTGCCAAACTGAAACAATGTAGGAATTCTGATGTGAGGAAATGATATATGTAGATCTCCTCTTATGCAGAACATTTTCTTGTTTTACTGGTGCTATCCTGGATGACAGTATTGTCAGTGTGTAAATAAAGTTATAGGAGATGACTATATTTCTGATAATCATGGGCGAAAAAAATGTGGCCAATAATTATACAGGGAAAAGCCTCCTTTTTTTTTTTTCTTCCGCTTATAGACACAAGCTTACTGTGCCTAATGGTAAACCCAGCACTGGAATCGATCTGTTATAATATAAAGCAATTCTTTGGGACCAACACCATTAGTGTGATCCTGGGGAAGATGAATCTTGTCAGACACAGCTTTTAGGCCACCGTTACATATAACTCAGCATGAGTTTGGTAGCCTTGGTTCATCATTGATGAATGGAGCTGTCATTCATCCTCAGAGCTGTTTTGATCTTCAGCAGAAATCAGTTCACTCAGAAATCCATTTCTGGCTCTCTAAAGTGCGTTATAGCCCTGGGTGGTACTTAAAGTGAATGACAACACTGTTCATCATGGATGGAAGGAAGTTGAGTGCGCCATCGCCAGTAAAAATTCCAACCGAGCTGCGTGAATCTGACTGATGCCAGCCACACACACAGACTATGTTTGACATTTGATTTGTCAGGTCAACAAAATTTACCCATAGGCGTGTAGTGTAAAGGTCTCCTTGTCTGGATAGAAAATGAATGTATAGTTTAGGCAAGCCTTCACATAACATATCTGTTGGTAAATTTTACTGATCTGGCAAGTCAAATCTGAATGCATGGGGCCTCCTTGTACTGCATTTAGCATTTAAAAATCCTCTGTAGGTTTTGACTAGAATATTACTAGTAGGCTTTGTGCACTTCTAATGATGTAATATGATCAGATCAGTGGTTTTCAGCACTCATAGCTCAGTGCCAAAGAGGTCTTGACATGATAAGCATGGAATTTAATGTTAAGGGTTAGGTTAAGGGTTGTGTTATGGCTAGGGCTTAGAGTTAGGAGTTAAAGTGACCCTGGCTTGACACTAAAAATGCCTATAAATGATGTCCCTATACAAAAGAAAGCATATACTTTGCTTTCCTGCTGCGTGAGCCTCTGAACACTGCTCTAATCCCAGGAAATTCCCTGCTGAAGTGTTCTGCAGGAACCAGTACCTCATCTCCTGGTCAATCATCAATCAGACATCGATCTCTTGGACTCCTTAAGCACTTAAGGGTTTCTCCGACTGAACTTCACATCATTAGTGTAGAGACTTAATTTTCAATTCGCAGTGGCATAAGATGGTCAAAATGCCTGCACAAATATATTAACTCCAACTATGGATAGAAACAAGCTTTGTAATGCACAATAAGATATGAATGTATACCTAAAACATTTAAAATACCATAGTACCCCTTTAAAGGTGAAGGAAACATGGATGCTGCCATTGCTGACCTCCTTCTGATACAGATAGTTGCATGGCTGCCATGCCGGGCCCAACTTTTTTCCAGCCATTGAGCTAGAATGTGTATGGAGAACACTGAAAAACTCATCCAAGTGTTTATTGGAGTTATCAATTCCCTCAGCTGAAAGCACTATCTGCAGAAAGGAATTCCACATTCTTACTGCTCTTACAGTAAAAATCCTTTATGCAGTCTTAGATTAAACTGCCTCTGATCCAGCCTTATATTGTGGCTTCATGCCATCTTCAGAGTTCTT